TGAAACAGCTATTTTTTGTTGGTTAAAAAAAGGTGCGCTCGTTCAAAACAGTTGTGTTCGATCCTTCGCTCGTTGTGCTGATTTAAATCTAGCCGGTCTGTTGTGTCTCGTGTCGCAAGTTCAGTGACGCAGGTAGTGACAATTCTCTTTGGCCAATCAGTGATCAGCAGAGTTTACACGTCACGTTTTGGTAACGGTACGGTTCGCTTGAAACCTCAACTGAGGTGGTACTGAAAAAAGTACCAGGTACTGTACCAAGTGGAAAACCCCCCAAAAGTGAACTGTACTGAACAGTACCTTGCTGTACCATGCAGTGGAAAAGCACCATTAGACTCAACGTAACTGACCCTTCGCAAAAACCCACCCTCCTTCGTTACTGTTGCTATGTCCGCTCTCACACTACTCATCATGTTCTCACGCAGTAAAAAAATACATTGTTGAAACACTTATCAGGCATGCAAGTGCAGCTCCTATCTCTTTGAATGGGGAAACATCAAATTCTCCAAAACTGTTTGCCAAGCTTATACGGTTAAATTTTCATTTGAAATCACCTAATAAATCTGACAACAGCTATCTCATAAATGTTGTTTCTTTTGCTCAAATAGCGTTAAAAAAGCTAATTTTTCAGTCTAGACCAGCCAGTGCGCATGCGCAGTCCTAAGCACACGTCTCAGAAGGCTGACTGTTTCTATAGCAACCAGGACTTCTAACGGCAGCTACAGTGACACGATGACTTTACTGATTAGCGATTGGCTCTTTTATTCAGAAGGTGAAGCTTACTGTGATAGAGCGGCCATATTATGTGTTTTTCGTTTTTCCCCATTCACAAGTATCCACCTTTATTTTTCCCGTAAGAGCGGGTGTGTCCATTTGTACATTTGATGTGTCTGGCTTCCGGTGTCATCCGCTTCCAGGTATTTTTAGCTGTAAAAAACAGCTCGTTTTGCGGCTTGATATTTCAAACTGGTGTGTTTGCCGTATTATTTTAATGTATTATCTTAATTATCAACACACTGGTTTGTAGTGCAACCGTTTTACCGTTTACTGCACTTTGTTATTCTTCTCGTTATTTCCCTACAGCGGCTAATGAACCGGATGTCTTGCACATTGATAAAAAACGGCTTACTTCCACGGTGAAAAATAAGGTGGATATGAGTGACATGTCTTGGGTATTCTATAGTCTTTGATGCAAGTCTTGAAAATGTGCACTTGTGGAGGTTTATAGAATGCAGTGGCCACACTCGTAAAAACAAAAATCATCTGCATACAAGCCATTAGCATATGTTCTAGTGAGTCTTGTTTTTGTGTGAAACATGTCAGAGGATTAAGGATTAATGTAAACAGTGATATACGTCAACGCAATGCACGCAAATCAACTTATTTTTATAATCGGCATAATCAATTTAGTCCACGTCACGCTGTCGCATTTCTTGTTTTTTGGTACAGTAGTTTATTTTGCATACTCATAAATTCTAGTTTTGCACAGACAGAATAGTGAGGACAGCATACATAGTGCCTTTATTAAGCAGAGAAATGTCTATCAGTGTTTTTATATGCAATTAACTGAAAGTTTGCGTTCATTCAAAATGTATGCAGTGAAATCTATAAATTATTGATGTGACCAGCTGCACCATGTTACCATGTGACTTCCTGGTCTCTTCGTAGGCAAATGGGATATGGGCCAATACAGTTTCTAGGTAATGTTACTTCTGACCTCTGTTATTGTCATTTATTTATAAATTAGTAATTCTTAAAAACCCTCTTCTTGTAGTGGAGCTTTTCAATGTGTGCCATATTTCACCTCAGTTGTACACAATGATTTACTTGCACTGAGTTGAGAAAAATACTGTAGCTTAAGGGTGAATTGTAAAAATTATTTAAATCCGACAAATGAAGCCAAGCACATACTAATGTTTTTATTTATTATTTTTTATTTTTTTATTTTAATCCTGGGCACATTAGAGACTCTTTGACCACTCAACAACATTATAAGCATCTAATGGCCACTTCCTCTTTTTCCCACACTCGTTGCATGTATAGCCATTACCCTTGAACACAAAGATCAGTTTTGTGGTTGATATTAGTGATAAAGTTCAGAATTTGTGCCGAAAAGCTGCTAGCAGATCAGTATTTTAAGTTGAGCATTCATATAGATATAACAACACAAGATCTTATACATGCACTTTAAAAGTTTCAGTTGAACTAAAGAAATAATCTGTCTTTTAAAATGTCATGTAAATGTCAAAAGACAAAGGTGATTTGCAAATAAAGAGAAAGGAAACATTGAAATCGCATCATATGACCCCTTTAAACCTAGAACTGTGCATGTAAGTGTACTGGTTTGATCACTCTGTAAAAACAAGTCAAAGCTTTTAACAAAAACTGACCTGACAGAAAGATCCAGATCCACAGAACATGGAAGGTTTTTATTTTCATCAATACTCTTTTGAGTCTCCAGTCCATTTAATACTTTGAAGTTCAGCTGATTCTGTATTCGTTATTGGTCAAATACTTTTTGTTAAAAACGCAAGACTTGTTTTAACAAAGGAAGTTGGAGTTGCTAAACGTGTACAATAGTGGCGTCAAACTAATCCCACCCATCTTTAGTTTAGTGATGACTTCCCCTTTAGCACTTAATCTGTATGTTTGCTAACCACTTCACACAGATCTGAGATCAGTACTCATGTAATGAGTACATTCTAAGTAAAATACTTACTGCTGTAATAAGAGCCTGACACATTAAACAATCTGACAAACCAGAATGTATTTATTTACACTCGGACAAAACAACATTCAAGAGACCTTAACTACTTACACCAAACACACATTCCACAACATTGACTGAAGCAAGTCAGGTTCAGGTGTCTTGATGCATAGATGCATAGATTCAGGTCAGACACCCAGGTCTTCTAACCCAATAAATGTCCACAACCTTTAGCATGTATCCTAGTGCTGCATGTGTAGCAGATATATCAGCATTGGGTTTGGAGCTCATTTGGTGCAGCTGGGCTCCAGTTACATGGAGAGGGTGGAGTATAGGGGAGGATCTTGGATCTGATTGGCTGCTGTACTTTTATTGACAGTAGAATAAATGATGATGTTTGTGTGTGCTTCAGTCCGCTGTTGGGTCTCCGTGATCTCCTCATAATCACCTGCAGTCTGTGGATTCAGTAATAAAATATTATAAAATGAATAAAGGAACTAATTACATTTGTATTACAAAATTACAACTGTACTGGGACAATGAATTAATAAATTCACTTTTTGTTAACTATATGTTAGCTAGAAGACTTTGTTGACAGTAAAGTACAAAGTGTTGGCATTTTGTGTTCTTAAGTTATATATGGTCATATTAACGATATTTTGGTGAAATTTCACAGGGCAGAAAAGGTCCATTGTCAATAACACAGTGCTGTATGAAGCACTGCTCACAAAAGTCACTTTCAAACCAAGCAGCATTTTGTTGGTCAGCGTGGCGATTTCACCTTGAACATGAGCGAAATCTGTGTGGGGAACTTTCCCGCCCTAAGCAAAACTCCTGATTCTGAAAAAATTCCTATTGAAATGATTGTATTTCGCCTATGAAATTCTGCAGAGCAGCAGCAGTAAATATGACCCCACTTTTATGTTGTATATCGTCTATAGTTGACCTTCAGAGTTTGGAGATGTCCCACATCAGTTTTTGAATGAAACGCAGTGTAATTTCAGATGTGAACTTTTTTTTTTAGCACTGTACACGTTTGAAAGAATCAAATAAGCCAAAAAAAAAAAAACACTATTGTAAATTCATATACTTTTAAAATATGTAAGAAGTGTTCTGTGTTTCTTACCTCTGTTGAATGTGTGGTGCCTTGGATTTCAGCATCAACTTAAATTGGAAATAGGGAAACACTTTATTAGATGTACTGTAGACTATATTGCATTTTTTTAATCAACTATTTGCCCTTACCATTGGAACTTGGTGAGTTTTTCTTTTGCTTATTCCATAAACAGAGAACCGCTCCAAATATAATCACCATCCCAGTCAGACCGACGGCTGTGATCATCAGAGGACCTAAAAATGCAGAGACGGGGAAACGTGACAGACTGTCTATGATATTAGTCATGCGATTGCCGAAACACTCACATTGACGTTGCAGTAATATCTCAATAGTTCCTTAAATAAACAGAGTGATAGCATCCTTAAAGAATGCAGTGTAGAAAAAAAGTTCATGCGGACCTCACAGGTCTGTCATGATTTTGCTTGACACTGGTTTTAAAAAAAAAAAATTATGTTTACACGCAAAGACATGGCAGCTGGTGTTTGTTAATTTTGTTTTGTGGTGAACAGAGAAATAATCATGAACTGAATACCTGAGGAGAGTGAATATTGTGCACCGCTCTCATTAGATGCTGGTTTGGATGAAACAACAGGACCTTTAAATCCTTTAAATGTACAAGAGAGACAACATCATTCCATAATTTGATACATAGATAAATACAATAATATTCTGATTAGTTCAGTACCTGTTGAAGATGAGGTTGTGGTGTCACCAGATGCTGAAGATGTGGAGAATGAACTTTGTGTCATGGAGGATTGAGAACTTGCTGCTGGTTTAGGAGTTGTGGGTCTGTTTGTGTCCAAGGCTATAATAGTTATTATTAACATGCAGATGAGTATTTTACACTTACTTAAATCTACACCAAATCCTGTGCATCATTCTTACCATTAGATACTGTCAGTTTGACTTTCTTATATGTGTCTTTAACAGATCTGTCCACTGCACACCAGTAAATGCCAGAGTCTGACTCCTGTAGATCAGTGATGCTCACAGTGAAGGTTCCAGCTCCATGATCCTTCAGTGTGTATCTTCCTGTAGGTGACTGGTCAGATTTCACTAAAACATCTCTGTCTTCACATGGTTCTCTGCAGAAATACTTTATATTGGTTGAAGCCATGCCGTGGGAACATGTAATTGTGACACCTTTTCCACTGTATCCATGTATATCAGCTCCATCTGTAACTGAAATCCCAATTTCTGCTGATGTACATGTCATGAAGAGGAAACTTGTTGTTTATTGACTTCTTTACTTGAACACAGATGAGGCATAACAAGGGTATCAATCTAGTGACTGATATTTTAAGTAGAGGAACAAACACAGTCATCCTGAATACAAAACAGCAATGTAAATGTGGAGCGAACTCACCTGACAGACAAATCCAGATCCCTAAAACATAGAGGAGCTTCATTATTGTGTGTAAACCTTGTTATATTCCACTGTAGACCACTTTATATCAGTACTTCCTAGTTTAAGTCATTACTATACTCTTAAGCAGCCTTGATGGCTCTACTGGTGTGCAAAGCCTTTGTAATTTTGAGGAACTCAGTATTTTTAAACTATAGCAAAACACCCATAAATGTACTTGCACAGCATCTACTTCCTTTAACAGATGATGCGTTTCGACAAGCCTTTTCACAGAGATCTGAGGTCTGTGTTTGTGCTTCCTGTCATATATGCTTGTGAATAAGATGTGACCTGAGCAATCTGATTCTAGATCAGTGTGAAATAGTGGGATGTGCACTGACGTCTGTAGACCACAGATGAGTACATGCATAATAACTTGTGATTTTAGCATGCTTGCAAGTTAATAACTACACCATCTGCCTGCAAAGAGCATCTTTCTCTGTTGACAGCCATGCAGAAATACCTGTTAGCTAAATGTTTTGCAAACAACATTTAAATTGCTAATATTTTATTATAGTAGATGTTTTGGAGGCTCATTAAAGTGAGAAATGGACTTCTGTCTGACAAGGATCACAAGTATTTGTGTTCCTGGGACGCCATCAGCCAGTCAGTGTTGCCATTTTCTTGCAGCTCTAGAGCCATAAGTCACATGACATTTAGGGTCACGTGGTTGACCCTGTAATGACGTGAGCTGTGTGTCATTCTTAGAAACTTAAACATGCATATGTGTGTGTGTGTGGTTAAAGCCCTCGAGCATTTTCATACACAGACCGATAAACCTAATGACCACATCCTCTGCTTTGTTCCAGCAGTGTGTTGGCATTGTTAGCTTTCTCACACAGATCTGAGATCAGTTCGTGGTGGTTGTCAGTTGTTGTGGACCACGTCTGAGCTAGATGAGTCTGAAAGCAAAGCTCTTATTAAACGGCTTTCGTGTGAGTGTTAGTTAGCTTGTCAAGTGCATGCACTACAGATCAGTAATGCTTCTCACATCAGTCACATCATGTCATGGTGTGTCAATACATTGGTGAAAAACTCACAGGCCCCTAGCATGACATTTTTGTGATCGCTTCAAAATCAAATAGTCCTTTACCACAAGATGCACTGTGATTCAATCACTGAAACTGCACTGTTTTCATTTTATTTAAATGAGTGAGGTGTTACTCTGGTTGTACAGAAGACATGTTTCTTTGTTAATGCATTGCTAACCTGCTGTCAAACAACACAACCATTTATTGGCTTGTAAAGGATGTTTGAAAGAGGCTCGGCGTGTTCCTGAAATTATGTAAATGAAGTTTGACAGAAGCACAGTGGTAAAAAATCCACTGTTTTGTTTATGTGAGGTTTGTATTTCCTAGAGGACAAAATTCTAACGCATCTTCCTAGGAGTTTGTAGAATTGTTTAGCTTACTAAACAGCTGGTAGTTTGCTATACAGTATTGGACAGTGGACACTGGTTTCTTTTTAGAGGATCATCAATGCAAAGCAAAATGAACATAATCCTTCATTTGGCTAGTAAGTAATCTCTCATAGCTCATGTTACTAAATCCTAAACACAAATGTTCATTTACGAATGTCTGCCTGATGAGGGCTTTTGGGAACATGCAAAAAAATGAGCAAAACTCGTCTAAACCGATAGCCTTGTTGCACTTTGAGCGACTGGAATTGGAGTCCCCTGTTGTGGTCTTTTCCCAATCCTGTCTATCTCTCTCTCCCTTCATGTCTGACCTGTCCGAATAAAACACATAAAAAAAAAAAAAAGATGAGAATGATGGATAGTTATTGTAGAAATTAACTTGTGCACGGATTTAAAGTAAGGATTAGCTTTTTTTTGTTGTTGTTCTCCACACACTTTCCAGTAGTAAATTTTACTGCACTGTATAAATATTGTATGGTATTGTATACAAATATTGTAAAAATACTATGGAAAAGAACTGTTAATAGACAGTAAGTTCCTGTACTATATACAGGGAAAAATTGTAAAAATTGTAAAAACTGTAACCGACGGATTTAAAGTAAGGATTAGCTTTTTTTTGTTGTTGTTCTCCACACACTTTCCAGTAGTAAATTTTACTGCACTGTATAAATATTGTATGGTATTGTATACAAATATTGTAAAAATACTATGGAAAAGAACTGTTAATAGACAGTAAGTTCCTGTACTATATACAGGGAAAAATTGTAAAAACTGTAACCAAACATTTAACATGTAACCAGTAATTTTACAGTAAAATACTGTTAATTTTACAGTAAAAATAACAACTCAATGTATAATTTTTGTGTTTGCGTGAATTACTCTGTGCACTTTCTGTATATTAGTATATACTTCAGCTTGTGGAACAGCTACTTGTGATGAACTTTGATCTGGTTTCAGATTTATTCAGATTTTCTTGTTTGTAAATTACAGTTTTATACTGTAAAGTTTACAGTTTTTAAAGTTCTGTAAATGTGTTTACAGTTTTTAAAGTTCTGTTAATGTGTTTACAGTTTTTCTGTATTCTTTTATTTATTTATGTTTTTACAAAATTATTTTGGCAACCACAGCTGCCAAAATGATTTTCTAAAAACTACGGATACATTTTTTTTTACAGTATGTAGTAATTCTCTAATGATCAAGGACATACAGTGATGTAGAAGTGATTATACAGTAACAGATGGATTTATCTCTCTAGCACTGTAGCTGATGATAATCATAAGTAATGCAGCGATCACCAAATCTCAAGGACACTGGTACTGCCCTCCTTCGGTGAACACATGCAACTGCACAAATTCGAACAGTTACGTGGACTGTCATGGACAAAAAGTCTCCTGCAAGGCCTATTCCTGCGCCCCTCAGAGTCCCGGCTGCTCCTGCATGATCGGATCCTACAACTGCAGCAGCGACTGCAGCTACGAAGCTTCTTCAGAACTCTGTAGTTGCAACGCAGATACTTGCCGCTGCCTGAACGGTGTGTACTGTCCCCATCAGCTGCCCTTGTGTTTCATATACCGTCTTTATTCACATGCATCCTCATGATTTATTCATTTCTTTCCTTCTAGATATGATGAATACTCAAGACAGCATGCAAGGGGTATGTGCATTTTTAAATGAAAATATTTTACACAAACAGTAACACTGATGACACAACTTAAATGAACCATACTTAACCTGTTTACATAAAAAACAAACAAACATGTAATCTACATTTTCAACATGTTGGAAAATCCCCTATGCACATTTAAACAGCCTCTTCTTACCCTTAATTTTGACCTTGTAAATACTTTTCTGCATTTTTTTTATTTTTACCAAAAGACAAGATTTTAATGTGTTTTTAAGATTAATGTTAGCAGTGATAAAAAAAACTGAGGGGCATTTTTCCTAAAGTCATTCCTCCTAAAAAAATTATATTATTGCTTATTTAGATTTTTCAGACCACAATTATTAAACCTTGCACTAATGGTTAATCCTGGTAATAATAATAATAATAATAATAATAATAATAATAATAACCATCATCATCATCATTATCAATAAATAAGGGGGTTTTCAGGCACATTATATTTTCCAAGTAATTAAAAAAACAGTATAGAGTAAACTGTAAACTATTTCATATTTTATAAATGTGTATGTTACAAAAAAAATGCCTTTTACAAGGAGTTTCTTTACTATTTGAAATCTTCCATGATTATAAAGTCAAGGGGCAGGTTTGTTGTTGTATTTTGAGAGTGACCCATGTATTTGATGTTAATCTTTTTCCATAGAAATCATTTGTATTGTACAGAAGTATCTCTTTTGGTATTTGATTAGGTTGCAGAAAACTATTTGAAGATTGTTGATGACACCCAGGTAAAGGTTTCAGATTTGGTCAGAGAAGAAGATAAAAGTAAACTGGTGTCATATGGAAACCGCAATGGATTGAGGAATACTAAAAAGTTGATGTCTAACTTTAAAAAATGAAGGAGGGAGAGGCCATGATGATGATGAGGTGAATGCTGTCCGGGGTCGCTAAAGACCCGAGGTATGCATTTAAGGGCTAAAGAGCTGTAATTCCTTAACCTTTCCTCCAATTTTCTTTATATAACTGTAACTTGAATATGTTTTGGTCAGCAGTAAAAATAATAAAAATTGTGCTTGTGTCCAAATATACTGTATATGGACCTAACTGTATATTATATATAATGTATATTTCATCTTAAAATATACAGTGAAAGACTAAGAAAAGCTGTGTTGGACTATAGCTCACGCTGCGAGGTTTCCCTGAATAACAGCGCATGTACAGCCGGCTAATGAAAGCTTTACTAAAATTAATTTGTGTAGGAACTGATTTTGAGGACTGCGCACTTGGCATTGTTTAAAGATCCGGAGTGAGTGCGTATGTAGACAGTAGGGGTGGAACGGTTCAACTTACTCACGGTTCGGTTTGTATCACGGTTTTAGAGTCACGGTTTCGGTATGGTTCGGTATGTGCTATGTTTAGGCAAAAACTATACTGTCAAATAAAAATAAAGAAAATAAGAATAATCTATCTAACTACAAGCAACAGCACGAATAAATACAACAGAGTATACAAATAAAATAAACAGTGATTTTCAGAGTTTTTTAGGTAGGTCTAACATTAGTTTTTAGCTACAGAAATTGAGTAAAGTAATCAAATGTAAAA